GGGGGATGAACGTGGGGGGGGGTGATCAAACGTGCCCAGGTCCGTCCTAGGCAATCCAAGGCCACCCTCCGGTGATGGGGAGGCGGAACTGGGGTCTCCCATCGCAGCAGGTGGTTTGTTTGTTCTTTTGTCGGTCGTGGTCCTGAACTCTGGGCCTGGGCGCTGTCCCTCAGCTCTTCAGCTCAAGACTAGCGCTCTACCACTTGAACCACAGCGCCACTTCTGCTTTTTCTGCTTATGGGGTGCTGAGGAATTGAACCCAGGGCCTCATTCATGCAAGGCAAGCGCTCTACCTCTGAGCCACCTTCCCAGCCCCTTATTGATTGATTGATGTCAGTACTGGGGCTTGAACTCAGGGCCTAGGTGCTGTCCCTGAGGCTCTTTTTTGCTCAAGGCGAGCGCTCTACCACTTGAGCCACAGTGCCACTTCAGTTTTTCTTGTGGTTCATGGGAGATAAGAGTCTTAGGGAAGCCGGGCGCTGGTGGCTCACGCCTGTCATCCTAGCTACTCAGGAGGCTGAGATCTGAGGATCGAGGTTCAAAGCCAGCCTGGGCAGGAGAGACCTTGAGACTCCTATCTCCAATAAACCACCAGAAAACCGGAAGTGGCGCTGTGGCTCCAGTGGTAGAGCGCTGGCCTTGAGCTGAGGGACAGTGCCCAGGCCCAGAGTTCAAGCCCCACGACCGACAAAAAAAAAAAGAGTCTCAGGGAATTTCCTGCCTGGGCTGGCTTTGAACTGGGATCCTCAGACCTCAGCCTCCTGAGTAGCTAGGATGACAGGCGTGAACCACCCGTGCTGGACTAAGCATTTTTCTTTTTCTTTCCCTTCTGTGCGGGTTTGGGGCTGGAGCTCAGAGCCTGGGCTCAGTCCCTGCACTTTTTCACTCAAGACTGGTGCTCTACCTCTTGAGCCACAACTCCACTTCCAGTACTTGGCTGTTGAATCGGAGATGAGATTCGCAAGGACTTTCCCAGCCCAGGCTGCCTGGGGCTGGCTTCCAACCGTGATCCTCAGACCTCAGCCTCCCCAGAAGCTGAGATGACAGGCGTGAGCCACCAGCGCCCAGCACTGGTCGGGTTTTGAGAAGGACCCAGCTTGCTGGGCGCCCCTCGATTCCCCTCACACACACCCCCAGCAGGACTGGGGGAGGCACCCCCAGCAACCCCGCGGATTCTGCAGGAGTCCCCTCCCTCCCGCGTGGGGCTCACTCACATTCCACGCCCACGGTGACGGTCCTGGAGTCGGTGCCGTGGGCGTTGGTGGCCACACACTGATAGGTGCCCGCGTCCTGGCGGGACACGCGCTGCCGCTCGGGCCGCGCCGCGCCGTCCCTGGCGCAGC